GTATTTTGGTAACAAATTAAAAAAGAACACAAAATTGAAAAACTAATAACAATGAATAGTGCATGTGGTTATCTTTCATTCAACGAGCATAACTCGTGGTCTCTAGGAGTTTACAACACTGCCCATTTCAAATCTACAATGACCTATGTTCGTGGTCATAAACGCAATTAACAACGAACAATGCTCGTAGTTATGAGATATTTTACAACAGGCTTCACCTATGGTCCTGCAAATCCACAACAGCACGCATTTCATTTCTATCACAACAAAGCCCGTGGTAGAAAACTTACATGTTATACCACGTCCAAGTTCTTAACGGGCAAAGCGTCCGTAAGGGATTTCTATCTACCACGGGCATCCACCATGATAGATGAACTTTTGTCTTCTAGTGATTAATAAGATAAGCTATTTACGAAAAAAATAAATAAATAAATTAAAACTCTAGATGTTTACATTACCTTCAATATGCCCCAAATGACTTGGGAATCATAAACGCCCCAATAATTGTTGTTCATCAAGGGTGACAATAACATCCTCATGATGTTGTAGGATATAATAACTTGAAATTTTAAGTTTCTTGTGTTCTGTATCAGTACCTTCTTCATATGCATTAATCTCGTGGGATTCTACATATGAGTGTGCTAGCATTGGAGTTGTAGACCTATTGCAGTTATTTGCCATAGCCTTTATGAGTATGTGAACAGAGCATTTAGCTCTGTTATCCTACGGTATGACTTCACCATGGCTAATTGCGTAACTTTCAATAAAACTAGTTAAATTTAAGGAAAGCATAAGAGCATTATGAATGAAACAGCAGAGCAGATTAAGCTTTACCCAAAAGTAAATTTCTAAAAAATTTGCTATAGATATCAAATCTAAAAGCATTGTTCGCGAATATCTAATGCGCGTTCCAATTTTTGGGAGGAACTTATAATATAGAAGAGTTTCTCCTTTTGTTGAGGATTATTTTTATATTTGACAAAAAGTTAGAGAGACAAGTAGCCTATAAGGGAGAAAACCAAGGGTTTATTGTTTTCTTTTTAAGAAAATTACCTTAAGCCCTTATGCTTTATTAAATTAAAACGATATTTAAAGAGATAATGAAAACAATATAACATATCACATTACCACTTCAGGCATAATTTTAGCCACTTAATGCTCCACTTATGTAGGCCTTTCTTTGTGAGGCCAAACTTATCGACACCTCCTATTTGTTATGGCCTTGAAGCCTAACTATGCAAGGCTAACTCATATGGGTCAAATTTCGGTAACAAGATGAGGATGTTAAAATTGGTTTTAAACAATATGCCTTAAATTCATATCACATATCTTGAATAAGACAAAAAAATTACAAAAAAAACCCGAGATTCCTATGTTACCTCTCGATAATCCTCGTATAAATTGAAATCATAAACGCCACGATTATTGGTTGTTCACGAAGGGCGTCAATAAGATCTTCATAATATTGAAGCATATGATACCTTGAAAGACATGATTGAGGGATATTGTTGTTATCATTTGTAAGAGATGTTGAAATCCTGTTAAGAGTCGCTACACATATACAAGGATAACATATCAACACCATGAATCCCATAATTTGTATTTGATTCACCTTTCAATAATCACTTACCACAACTCAATGGAATGTACCTGGTATACCTGAAATAATAGGTGCATCCTCCTGATCTTGTCATCGATTACACCAAGAGTTGCGCATTATCCAATAAGCCATACCATTAGCAGTTTTGCCCTATCCAATGTGATTAGCATACAGTGGTACCTATCTCCAAACTCATCATCCACACGAGTCTTCATGGATGCTCTAAACTCATATCAAATATCATAAATGAGACCACATTATTTACAGAAAAAAAAAACCTAGATTCCTATGCTACCTCTCGATAAGTCTCGAATGACTTGGAATCATAAACCCTGTGATTGTTGGTTGCTCTCAAAGGGCCTCAATAACATATTCACAATTTTGTAAGATTTGATAACTTGAAAAACATTATTGAGGAATATAATTGCTATCATTTGTAAGAAATGTTGAAATTTTATAAAGAATCGTTATACATATACAATGGCAACATATCAAAACCATGAGCACCATAATTTTTATTTGATTCAACTTTCAACAATCACTTTGAAATCACAACTCAATGGAATGTAACTACCATACTTGAAATAATATGTGCATTCCCCTAATCTTGCTTATGTAGAGATTATTTGAGCAATACTTGCATATATAAGCTTGAAGCAAGTCCATAAATTCAAGGCCTAATGGATGGTTAACTAAGACTCTTTGCAAAATGGAAAGAGGAAAGTTTGAGCTTTCATACCTTTGAAGCTCATCCTAGTGTTCACAAGGAAGTCGCTCAAGTGGAGGGCCTTAAAGTACTGTCAATTTTCCACACAAAGGATTGCAATATGTCATGGCTGTCTAAACTAAGTAGTAGTAAGACAACCTATTCAATTACAACTACAATGCAATAAGATCCTATTTCTATAATTCAATACTCTTGACCACATTGTTTCGTTGATAGTTAATTTCATGTTTACTATCCATCGTGATTCTTCTCGATATGATTCTAGTGAATATGATTTGGAACATTCTTCCTCGTATCATATGCTTTGGCCAAAGACTCTCGAACCATATCTTAGAGTATTCTCCTTCCACTATGAAAGGTTAGAGATCCTTTGTTGTACACTGACATGTCTCTATGAATAAATCAATGACCTAACAATGCTAGGAACATACCCAAGATGAGGAGTGTACTTTCATAGTGTGTCAGGCGGTGTGTACAAGGCCCAGGAATCTTGGTTCCCCACAAGGTTACATTGTCAAATGCTTAAAGATGTACTCACAAGGTATATGTGGTCTTTCAGGTCAGAGAACTAATTTTCATTATTGCACCTAATTGGTTCTTAAATGACATGTAAGTTAGAACTTTTTGTTGATTGATGTTCTGTGTACTCAACATCCTTTGAAGCACCTATGTGTTTGTCTTAGTGTCTAACACTAACAACTTAAGACTAATCATACTCCCAATTGAGTTGACATAACACATACAAGCCTTAACGGATTGCAATGCTTAATTGACAATCTTATGACTATGAACCTTTTAGGAATGAACACAAGAGAAAGACCTCCTTGATCTAACTTACCTAGATCACTTCTTCCATAGATTGATTACATTCCTTGGATATTGTAATTGATTAAACACATAACACACAAATAGTGATTAACAATAAACATTTCTCTTCCATTAAAATAAAAAAGAGTTTAACAAAATAAGTATTCTAAAAGTTATTACATATGACGGCCAAGCTTGAGAATCTTCCACTTCACAAGTACAAAAATTGGACCACTTAGATCACTTCTACAACTCTCCTACTTGACAAAAGTAAGTGTTCCAAAAGCTATTACTTAGACACTTCTTTAAGGGCATACTTCTAATAATCTCCCACTTGCACTCAAAGCCATCTTCCCATGTATTGAACACCAATCTTTTCCATGTGATGATCAAGCTAGACTTGGGACATTGGCTTAGTTAGTGTATCTGCTGATGCAACCATGTGAATGTTGACTTTCCCTTCGGCAACATATCGTTTATTGATGGTATCCGCTATTATCCACATGTTGTATCCGCTATTACTCACACTCTCTAGCAATTGCCCACATGTTTGTATCCACTATTTGATGGTATAGTATTTTTATGGCCTCGTTTGTTCTACGAGATTAAATTGCAATAGATAACACACTAAAGTCAAAGCATGTCAGAGGAAGAAATGTAAAAATTGTATTCAACTTGAAGATGAATTACTTATTAAAGAAATCTGTCCAATCTAATATGTCTCACATCGAACATAAGACTTCTCACTTATAAGTAAAGAGGAATACCAATAAACCGTAGTACTAAGTGATTTTTAATGCTTTTAATTAATTAATATTAATGGTTTTAAAAGAAAGAAAAAAAACTTGAAGGGTGGATTCATGAATTCGTGGCAGTTGATGGGTTGTGTCGTGTAGTATCGGGTTGTTGGGGAAGAAGATGCAGATTGAAGGGTGGGGCTCTAAGGAGTCAGAGAGAGATGCAGATGGAGATTGAAGGGTGGGCTCACTCGGCATAAAAGATTATTTTCTTATTTTTAGTTGATTTATTTTATAATTTTTTTAATCAATGTGGACAAATTTAACTGCCACGTCGTCAATTAACAAACAACCTAACAGAATTTTTAACAGATGTAGGAATTTAAATGAAATAATAAGTAAACATATAAAATTGAAATGTTTTAAAGATATCATATGAAGTTACAATTAAAATGTAATTAACCCTTTGAAATTGGAAGAAATGGCTGTGGGTTGAGTTGTTCATTTTATTATGATTATTATTTGTTTTATTGTTTTTAGTTGTTTATTTTTATTAACTAGTCAATTTTTAATTTCATAAATATGTGATAATTAAAACACACGTCAAGTGGAAATTGGGGGTTGTCATGCCACTAAGCATATTATTATTGCGCTTCTAAAGTTAATCGGCTTATTTGGGCCGACATTTACCGCCTTTTCATTTTAACGTAAAATAAAATTTTTACTGTTCTTAAAATCTCCAGAAATCTAGCATTATGTTTGAATGATGGAAATAAGTATAGCATTTTGGTAAAAATCAGAATTTATAAATTGACAGACTCCAATTTTCTTGTTTGGATTCATAAACATAGAAATTTAGAATTTTCGCGTGGAAAAAAAACTTGGAATTTGAGACCTCTAAATCCCAAGTTCAAATTCCATGTAAATAGGTGTTATTTCTCAATTTATATGATTGAGAGTGATTGAGAGTTTAAAAATAACAAATTTTGTATTCAATTCCATTGTTCTTTTAAGTTAACCAAATAAATAAAATATATAAATTTTAAAAAATAAAATCTTATTATTTTAATTTTCGTTATTTTAAAATCTTTAATAATTTTAAATTTCCTTATCCAACGTAGAAACGTAGTGTAAATGTAACTGAAAAAAGCCCCGCTCGCTGACAACCTCTTCATCACTGACTAGCTAATGAGTGATGACTGAGAGAGAGCCATGGCGGCCACCGTCTCCCACCTCCCCGCCTTCCTCTCCGTCTTCTCTCAGAAGAATCTCTTCCTCGTCGACCCCCAACACCAATCCACTCTCAGATTCACCGCCCAGCAACGCCGCCCAGAGCCGCCGCACTTCACGCTTCAAGCTTCTTCCGTCAAGAAGAAAACCAGGTCCGCATTTCCCGCTTCCACTTTTCTCTTTCATTTATCCACTTCTTCTCACTCGCGTTTTGGAAATTTCAGTAGGAAGGTAAAGAGCAATGCCGAGCTCTGCAATGAACTCCGGCAGTTCCTCACTGCCGTCGGACTTCCGGAATGTCACGTTCCGTCCTTGAAGGAGCTCTCGCAGCGCGGAAGGTATAAACTTCTTCGGTCACTTTTCTGATAAATTTTGTTTTGTTTTCCTCACCAGAATTTGATTCAAGTTGATTAGTTAGGGTTTATCTGTGAATTGAAGGGTTTGGTTGCAACTATAATTGACTCTTTGATTTCTGAGAAGTTTTGATAACGTTCCGGTCATCGATTGCTGATTGCTTGTTGCCACTTTTGTTTTCTTCAACAAATTTTGACATTCGCTGTATCGGGTAGTATGTTTTTCAAATTACATATACATGTATTGATATATGTAGTATTGACTCGGAGACTCCATAAATTGGATCAAGTCTGATGCTTTTTGTCATATCGAAAATAATGAACCAGGGATGACCTTGCAAACATTGTCAGACGGAGAGGATATAAACTTATAAGAGAGCTTCTTGCGGACTCAAGCAAAAAAGATACAATTGGTAAGGCCGATAATGTGTTTGCTGGAATTCAGGATGCAATTGATGATCGTAAGAAGATAGTAACAGGTCAACGTTTACGTTCGCAACCTTATTTTATAGTTTATGCAACTGTTACTGATACCCTCTTAACAATTTAAAAGGTCAGGATCAAGAGGTGAATGATTCGGTTGAGGATTTCTCTTCGTCAATTGAAGTTTCAGTCTTGGAAACTAATTCTGGTAGTTTGATTTCTCATCCCGATCCGAGCCGTGATGACAGTGGTTGTTTAACTGTGGAATCTTCAGCTGATTTGTATAATTTAGAAGGTCATAGTGAGAAGGTGGATAATGTGAATGGAAGTGGTTCTGTGCCAACCAAATTTTCTGTAATGGAAAACCAATCCAGGAGTTCTGAAATTGGTCCACCCTTCAACTCTGACATTGATAGTAATACGCCTTCAGAAATTTCCACCCCTTCATCCTTGGGCGAACCTGATGATCTATCCTTGCCAACTACTGTTCACATCAAAGAAGCCAATACTTGTAGTAGTTCAAACGTTGGATTGGATCCGAACTCTGATGGATGTCCTGGCATGCCTGTAGAGCCTGCTGATGGTTTATCATTGGATGGAAAGGTCTTAGTTATATGTCAGGATGGGAAGGTTGACAATATGATTGATGAAGATTCCTCTTCAGCCGTAGTTTCCGGTTTGGAAGACCATTCTAGTTCAAATCTTGAATCAAGTCACAACTCTGATTACCATTACCCACCCTTAGAATCTCCACCCAATTTATCCTTAAAGGAAAAAGTGGCAAACTTTATGCAGAATGGAGACTTGGATGCAGTTGAAGGTAAGTTGCCTTAAGATGCCTTTCCTTCAAATTTGTTCACAATATAATTATGTTTAGCAACTCACGTAATTTATTTTTAGTTCATGTGCATTATCTGGTGATTCTTTTCTTGTTCGTTGTCACTGTTGATGTTTTTGAGCACTAAATCATTCCGATGTAAGCTTATCTTTCATGCTGTTTGTTACTAAATATGCTTACCTTCCATGCTATTTGTTACTACACACATGCTTCCCCTTCATTTTTCTTTCTCCTTTATTTCTTCATTTCTTTCAAATTTAATAATTACTTGGAGTTTCTTGATACAGATAATGTCTATGGCGTAGTAACTGAAAATAATGCTGAAGAAATCAAGGGTAGATTTGGAAACACTGAAGAAGTTCAATTAAGAACTCCTTCGGGGCACTCTAAAAATGTGCTTGAAGGAAGGGATGTAACTATGGCAGTTGATCCCTCTCTTAGGTTGGTAACTTGTACATCTGTTCAAAGTTCCGTGTTTTCTTCTCTAATTATTATTGTTCCTTCCTTTCTGATTGTTGTTACTATTCAACCTCATTTTGTTCTAATATCCCAAAGAGTGACATTTTAAGAATCCAAATTGTTAGGTTACCTTACAGAACTGGAACTCAAATGTGATGCATGACTGAACAATGTAGACATAGTTGTCAACTTCTGCAGTGCATCAGTGTTTTAGTGTATTCTTAAAAAGAACTTTTTTATGTTTATAAAGTAGGGATGATAGTTCACCAGCTGAAGGGCTAAGTTCTCTATATGACAAGGATTTGGATGTTAAGGTAATTACTTAACTCAAAACTATGCTACTTGCAACATCAACTTTGACAACAGTATTGCGTTTCCTATTGTGTTTTTGGTTTACAGACAAATGAAAGAGACTATGAACTCGATGTTAGTCATCTCAAGTTTATGCTGGTACTATTCTCGTAAAGTTCTGCTTACACATTGAGCTTTCTACTTGAATTGTTGATTATAATTTCGATTATATTCCTTTTCTTAGCATCAGAAGGAGATCGAATTGTCACGGTTGAAAGAACAGATTAAGAAAGAACAGGTATATTAGCTATTTTGGAGATTCCTTTATACGGCATGACCTTGTTCACAGTATTGCAACATAGAAATATGTATGATGCATTTGATTTTGCTTGTGTTTGCATGCAATTTTTTCTCTGTGAGTTTCATATGATCACTGATCTGATTATAGTGCATTTTACTGCTTCCTTTAGCTTGCTTTGTCAAACTTGCAAACCAAGGCTGAAATGGCAATCAGCAAAGCACAAAAGCTTGTCTCTGAAAAAGATGCAGAGTTACTTGCTGCTGAAGAAAGCCTTTCAGGATTAGTGGAGGTATCACATCTACCATTTTGCTGGACTTATTTTCGTGTATGTGTAATTATGCTATTAGAGCATTTTGGCAGTGAGTAGGATGTTTTCTAAGCAATGAAAAGCCCATCGCTGACTCTTCATCATTCATGCATAAACAAATTCTCATACATGCATTTTTTGACAAGAATAAAAATTAAAAAATCTCATACATACACTGACAGCATTTGTATGACATTACAATTAGAGTTTGAACTTACTGATTCTGAGATAATTAAAAACTATGTTGGCAATTGACAGATCTTTCGTTGTGAAGGGTATAAAAGAAATAGTGAGAGAGTGAGTGAGAGAGTGAGACTGAAACTACTGATAAGATTGTTGGTTATAATTAAAATTTAAAAGTATGTTACACCTGATGATCGGAATTTCCTGACCTCATCAGGTTGAGATCCAGTACGAGGGAGATGGCGAGATTGTGGAGGTGACTGGTAGCTTCAATGGTTGGCATCATCAGATTAAAATGGATCCAGAGTCATCATCTAGTATCATAGAACCCTTGAGGTCTTGACACGCTCTTTCTCTGTATAATTTGGCTTTAAACTTTTATTGTATCTTGTTACTTCGGTTGTGCCTAATTTGCATATTATCTTTCCTGAAGAGTGAAGATTCATCATATTCAGTCGACATATTATTGTCGGTTATTGTTAATCTTCCCTTTTATGGTCGTGCTATTTCTTCATTTAATTTTTAATATGCTTGATGCTCAATATATTAGTTGAGTAATTAGCTTACTGATCATCAGGACTACATTTTCGTGCAGGAAACCCAAACTTTGGTCAACAATGCTGTGGCTTTATCCAGGGACATATGAGGTGAGTACATCTAGCAGCTAAACATTATGAACCGTTTTTTCGTTGGCAAGGAGAGTGTGAACCTTGAATAACTGTATCTAAAGTGTGATATTAACTGCAGATAAAATTCATTGTTGATGGCCAATGGAAGATTGATCCTCAAAGAGAGTCAGTTACCAGGGGTACCATATGTAACAACATTCTCCGCGTTGACAGATGAATTGGCTCTGGCTGGGAGGTCACTATCTGCCTTTAACCGCGGTATATAACTAAACTAAATATACGTCTCACTTTCACAGTCAAAATCAAATGCAAATGATGATTCTTGCAATGGATAGGTTTTATTTATTTATTTTTTTAAGATTCTCGCTTGTTGAACTTAGCTGGTAAAAATTTATTTCTGTTCTTGTTGATCATACTCTTATTTAGGTTGAAAGTGTTGCAGACAAGGAGCCAAATCATCTACTATTTATTTGGCCTGCTGTTTAGGTAAAGAGGCAAAAGTGAAGTTGAAGCAACCTAAGCCTATGCCATCGGAACAAGAAAGTGAATTGAAGAAGAGACAGGCAGGCAAAGTCAAGGATCTATATGGTCTTATTCCGCGCAATGTATATATCTGCTACTCGCCATGGCTTTCAATTCCTAATTTATTCTTTTTCCTGGTAGGATTGTCTTGATAATCCTTTTCAAGAGATTCTCTGTTCTTTATGATATTAGTTGGCTTAAAGTAAATAATTAGAAAATTAGTTTCAGAGTATCTGCTTATGAATAACGAAATGTTAGTTTTTTCTTCTTTTTCTTCTCTTTTTAGGAAAGACTCGATATACTCATAACCACGGCCGAAGCCAAGGGCAGTAGAGAAAGCCATGAACAGGATAACCAGCAAAGCATAGGTAACCAAAGAGAAAATAAGGGAAAACACCGAGAGACGTGGCATAAGAGACCGAAACGTCATCCCCTTACAGACTCCCAAAACTAGGTCTAGCTCGGAGGGCGAGGAATGTGTGACCGAGTGTGGGGAGGAGGAGGAGTCGTCCATGGGATGCGCGACAGAATGTCCTGCTGTCCAGGGACACGCCGAGCGGTTTTTACCTTTGGAAGTTGTAACATCCCAAAAAGCCGAAGTGGCGCCAATGCTAGCATGAAGAGTTCGTGTGGGCGACAGTTGCTTGTTAGGATTGCACCTGGCCTTCCAAATGTACCAAATAGGAAAAAGCGATGTGGGTAAGGGATCGCAATCTATCCTCCTTACTTCCCAGGTCTTCTGTCAAAACCGCACTGCTACATTACTTAGATGCAAGGTTTCAAGATTTGCTTTGTTGTCGAACAACACTATAAACTTTAAAGGCAATCAACTGTATACGAAAACGGTTTTGACTGCTACAAAACTAAGGTTCTAAAAGACGTTGGGCGTTAGTTAGGCGGCGGGTTGAGGCTTAGCGCCTAGGTGGGAGCCTAGGTAGATTTAAGTAAATTTATTATATATCGGATAAATAAGTGTTTGTGTTTGCTTATACTTCAAAAATACATTGGAATACATAAATTGCAAAATAGAATGACATATAGATTATAAAGTATAGAACATAATAAAAACATGGGGAACAAGCATATAATGTGTGTTTTTTTTCAAGTATCCAACAAGTTTCTTACAATTTATTAAAAAAAATAAAATGCAAAACGAAAATTACGTATTTTTTTATCTATATGAGAGTCGTGGCCTAGGCAGGGTGCCTAAGCAGGTCTAAACGCTATTTTTTAATTTTCAAACTCTTAGGGATTAATCGGGGGCAGTCTCCAACAACCTAGCGCCTAGGCTCTAGGGATCAATTAAGGTGATTTTCAACCTGCTAGCACCTAGATGGGACCTAGACGGCCTCAGGCGGAGTTTTTTTTCCGAGTAGTCTACAAAACAAATATAAGCTCAGAGCATTGGGAAATTGGCCTATCTAGAGATTACGTCAATAATGAACGTTATTGCGGTGATATATAAAGTTAATACGTGTTGTGATGTATTTTTAATTCTTTTTATATCTAATTACTTGATTGATTTGAAACACTAACACAAAAATCCTCCCATCACAGAGACAGACTCCAATGACCAAAATGTCCAGAAAGAGATGGGTTTTATAGATTGTAAGGTGTTCGTGTGGAAACCACGTGGAAATGTCATTGCTAGTTGCTGTCCATCCCATATTATACCAATTAACTCACGGTCGTGTCTCCTTCCACTAGTACAAAAAACAATTTGCGTGACGCAGGTACCTTCCTTGTGCAAAGTCAAAGAACGTTGCCTGAAAATCAGCCTAACGAAACCTGCGCCGCGCGCCAATCGTCGCGCAAAGGCAGTGAAAGCAGGGCTTGCGCGACGAAGAGAGCACCTGCGTCGCACAAAATGTCTTTGTGCGACGCAGGATATTTCTTCGTTGCGCAAACCCTTATTTGTTTGTTTTTTGACAAAAATATTTTTTATTTAATTTTTTATAAATATTGTAATTAAATTATAAAAAATAATTAATAAACCAAGAAAAAGTTTTTAATTATAAAATATATGAAAATGTACATACAAGATGTCCGAACATAAAAGAAAAAACTACAAGTAATCTTCTAGGTTTGATACATTAGGCTACTGGGTATCGGCTGGGCGAAATGGTTAGGAGGTCGAAGGTGGAGCAATATTAGGTGCTGGCATCGGGATTTTGTTGGAAGTATGCCCACAAAGCCACTCATTTGATGTAATAGCTTTTTGGAATACTTATTGTGTTAAACTATTATATGTTTAATGAAGTGACACAGCCCGATCCTAGAATCAAGGTGTGTTGGCCGTCACGTGAGCGTGACGTAACCAAAAAGTACGATGCGGAAGCAAAAGATAAAAGAAATACGAAGGAATAAAAACCAACTACTAGCAATAATATCCAACTAACATGCTAGAGTGAGTTTAAGTATGAAACACACATATTCAGAGCATAAGTACTAAGTGCAGTCAAGTAGGACCATAACTAAATTACAACACCTGAAGGTGAGTCCTACATTTAAGTAGTCTATCAGTACACCCTGGGAATCCTCATGGGCCACCAACGCTGCTAACTATAACCTGGAGGGGCGCAAAACAAGATTGAGTGGGTCAGTAAAACAAAGCTTTTCGAAAATATTTCATAAACAACACTTCTAACCCCTCACTGTAGAAAATAGTATATATATAACCATATAACAACAATTAACTCAAATCACAAGTCTTTAACACTTTTCAAGAATATGTCATGCTATGATTCAAAACATGATAAGGATGCATCAATATAATAGGTGAAATACTGAATCAACCGAAGACCCTGCAGCTGTCCTGTACAGTTAATTCTATAGCTCAATATCTAACCCAACCGGAGTCACTATTGTGACATGTACGACACTACTCTGCACATAAATCGGAACTACCTGAAGTAGTCTGTACGATAAGAATGGTGTAAGAATACACTCTAGTGTTTCTCTCATCAACAACTGTATAATAATCTAAAGTCACCTACAAGTCGGAACCACCTCTAATGGTATGTACGACATGTCGGAACCACCTCTAATGGTCTGTTCGACATGCACCTACTTGGATCCAAGGTGAGCGCGTAGTGCGGGATGAATAATATAAGCACTAACACCAAGGGTGCAGGTTATGAGCTCTCAACACAATTCACATCATCAATAAACCATATAAACATAAAACTCACCTGATATTCACCTGTGCGTCCACAGCACCATTTCACATATATGTATCAAATAATAACTCATATATTTCATATAATATGCATGCACGGCATTTTAAAACATACTTTCATTTATATTCAATTTCTGGGAAAAATCAGTAGTATATAGGTATAAACAGAAAATAACTGCCCACTCACTGGTATGTCGAAGGGTCGTAACCCCCGTGACGCCCTTGAACACGCTCTTCCTCAGGATAGGTCTCACCTATATGCGAAACAACTATAAAAACGTTATTTAAAGCACATAACCAACAATACGTAATAACTTCTCATACGATGCTCAATTTGGGTATATGAATATACCACAGTGACCTACTCGACGTCACGGACGTCGAGTTATTTTTAGAAAAAAATTTCAATGCCGGACGCACCCCCACGCGTCGGGAGGGGCACGGACCCACGCTCCCCCACGAGTGTCATCTCCTTCCTCCAGTCGCCAGACTGGTTTCGCCGGCGCTGGAAAACTGGGGATTTTTCAAGCTTCATTTTCTTCGTCAATTCTCAACCATTTTTTATGCAATTTATACCAAAATGAAGCCCTAAGCACGTAGAATCACGATGTACTAATTTAAGGCTAAAAAACACACGAAATCTCACCGGAGAAAATCCAAGAAAACTGGCCAGCTTCGAACCCTACGATCCCGATGTCCAAAACCTTCAAACTAAGTACTCCGAGCTTCCTTAGGACCTCACTAAGCTCCCTGTAGGCTTAGAATTCCCTGAAAATCAACAATTCACGTGTGCATGAACAGTGACATCAAACTGGGTTACGGTTTCAACGTGATTTCGAGGGTTTCCAATTCTAAAAATAGTACCATTCGATTCAGGAAGTTGCAAGGATGAAAGAACTCACATTTTTGACGTCGATCCGTGAAGATTTGAGGGTTTTTGGTTCTTGTCCGTACAAGTTCGAGAGGGAGAGAGAGGAAGAGTGAACTGATAGGGAAGAGAGAGAGGGCATGAGATAGGAGAGAGAGTGAGGTTTGTTTTGAGTGTGTGTGTCCTTCCCTTAACCACACAAAATGCAAACCAATTTTTTAATCCAACTCAATTTTTCCAAAAACTTAGGAATGTATAAATTATTCAAATTAAGCAAGTCACACATACCTTAGTAACCTTTAAGAGCAATTCCATAAAATCACATCCACAATAACTAAATTTTCGGGACATTCTATGACATGAAGGGCAAAGCTTATTGTTAATCACTATTTATTGTATTATGAGTTTAAGCAATAAGGGAATCCAAGGAATGTATTTAATCTAAGAGAGAAGTGATCTAAGTAAGTTAGATTAACGAGATCTTTTTCTTATGTTCATTCCTAAAACGTTTATAGCCATAGGATTGCCAATTGGGCATTGACAATCCGCTAAGGTTAGTATGTGTGATGTTAACTCAAGCGTGAGTATGACTAGTCTTAAGTCATTTAGTGTTGGACACTAAGAAACACATAGGTGCTCAAAAGGTAATTGATTACACTGAACTACGATCAAAAGAGAGTTCGTACATACATGTCATGTAAGAACTCGTAAGTTACAATATGCAAAGTAGTCTTTTGACCTGAGGCATCATAGATGTCTAATGGTTAGGTCCTTGATCTTTGATTATGTCACAGACATTTCATCGAGAGTGTCTATGACATTGTTGGGGTCAAACTATCTAGTCATATAGGCATATGAATGCACAATAAGGGATCTCTAACCTTCCATGGTGGAAGGAGAATACTTTGAGATATGATTCAAGAGTCTTTGGCCAAAGCATACGAATGTGACTTTGGAAGTTTGTTCTAAATCATATTCAATTGAATCATATAAAGAAGTATCACATTGGATATAGTAGACATGAAACAAACTATCACTCAAACAATGTGATTAAGAGTATTGTATTAGAGAATGACTGTATATTGTAATTGTAACTGGATAGGTTCTCCAACCATTTCTACTTAGCTTAGGTAGTCATGACATACTGCTAGGTGTCACTCATGATTTGTGGAAGTCCTGAAGATTAGCAAACTCTAATCTTCATCAAAGGGAGAATTGAAATGTGGTTTCAATTCACAATCGATCGTTGAGAGTAACAATCGCCCATTGCCTCACTAATTGGAACCTAATGGATCGTACACCGAGTAAGGATGAACGTGAAGAAATATAAATAAGATGGATAAGCAATTCAATGGTTTAATTGAGAATGGTCATGATTAATTAATTAGTTAATTAATTATACAAAAGGTTCGTAATTAGTTAATTAATTATACAAAAGGTTCGTATTGGGCTTTCAATTTAGTTTCGGGTCTCGGGGGCCCAAAAGTGTTTTGGTCCACAAGGCCCATTATGTTTAGGTTGTATGACAACTAAAACAAAATGGGCAATTAGCCCAATAACAAAGTCAAGGCTGGCCATAAGGGGGAGTGGAAGCAAACTTGGATTAATTGCAAGGTTGCCACTCACATGTGAGGTAGTATAAAGTCATCTTTATAGCTTTTACTCACTAGGGTTTTCTTGAGGCAAAGAAGAGAAACATTTTCTCTCTTTTTTCTCTATAGAGGCCGGCCACTTAGGGAGACTTTTACTAGCATAAAAAATCTCTCTAAGTCATCCATCTTCTCTTCACACTAAATCCTTGGTGTGGAGAATTAGAGACACTAAACCTTTGGTGTTCTTGGAGATCCTTTTTCAGGGCGTTAACCTGTCATGTGGCCGATCTGGAAGAGGAGGCACCCGTCTCACAAACACGCGCCTTCCCTATACACCGAACAATCTTGCCATGACGATGACCGAACTTCTGATCCAAGACCTTAGTTAGGATCTAAAGACCTGGATCCTCCGGTACAGTGACGTCCTCAATCGGGATCTCTGGAGGAAGCTGCGATGCTGATTCTTGGAGAATAGCAGCGCATTTTTCCACCATAGCAGCCTATAATAGTAAAGAAAAAACATATAATGTTTAATAACAATATATAATTAATATTTTAACGATTTATAAATATAAGAATAATAACAATTACATATACTTACATGAAGCTGCTTAGTGGTCTCATTGCCGGGTCGAACGTAAACGTCCTTGAACGTGTTGATCTCTGTGAACTTAGAACACTGCTAAAGAAAAAAACATTAAGACAATTTTATTAATAAAAAATAAATTGTATAAAATTTCAAAATTAATATACTTTTACTTGACGTTGCGCCTTAACCCTATACGAAAAAGGCATCGAACCAGAATGGTGAAGAAGTGTCTTTGACTCCCGAACTTTGTTGCTAGTAACAAATTTCTTCTGTTAAACTTACAATATACATGTTAGGGCGACTATTTGAAAGAAATTATTAAAAAAATCTTAAAAAATAAATAAAACCGTAATAAATTATTATTAAAATATTATGTACATACCATAAATTTTGGGTCCGTAAAATGTTTGCAGAGCCACTCCCAATCCTCCGGCTAGTCCACCAACTCGGTTAGGCAACCCTCTAGGTGAGCAATCTCCGGATCATCCCATAGCTTAAAATGCACGTGAAGATCGCTCTTCCAATGTTTATACCAGGTTCCTAAGGTCTCCTCTAAGTAGGCGATGGCCTCGAGGGATATGACCTGAAGATCAGAATTGACCTACAAATATGAAAAACAATAAAATAATAGTAAGAAATTTAATAATATTAAGATAATATACTTTGGTTTATAATATTTGTAAACAAAATTAAAAAAAAAATTGATAAAGGCTAAACATTAATTTACTAACTGACAACTTGTCTCGCACAAGTTTATTCGTCTCCTCGGGAATTTGTGCCCAAGACTCCCACTGCACATGACAACACCACCAAATAACATAACCACAACTAGTAACGACGCTGCTATGCTGCTGTGAGGTAGCCGCTCCACAATGTCGCGAGTCATACGCAATCTTGATCAAGGCGGCCTACAGACATACGCTCTGTGCTGGCTTCAGCATTCAATTAGGCCCCATGGTGTTTTTTTTAGCTACCCAAAAAAACTTAAATGGTGACAACCCTAAGCTTAAATTTCTACAGAAAATTCGGCAAAACCTCCCCTAATGGTATATCATTTACCTAAACCTTAAAACAGTAATTCACAACCCGCAACACATTTTCACAATCATAAAAATAATAGTTTTAAAATGAAAAAAAATACAACGTAGTGAGAATTAGAAAAAACTACATGGCTGGGAGCCCCCACCCTCGACTTTGGATGCCGAGGAAGTGTGATCAGAAGGCTCCGGATCGCGGCAAAGTTGGTGAGGTCACTGTGCACTGAGCGGCTGAACCGACACTGATGACGTCGATGATGTGGGCACCTGGGACACCATAGGAGTAACCTCAACAAGGGGTTTAAGCTCTCCAATCAATGGAGCACTCATGCCTGGAGCAGTAGATGTTGATAATGCGGGAGGCGCATTGGTCACACTCCGACGACGAGTGATCAACTGCGACATCTATACACTTTTTGAACCATAAAATTATAACATTAGAAACTAATCCTTTGTTGCATTTGAAACTAATCAATTAGCAGCCAAAGTAATATCATATCCTTTCTTGCATTTGTTCACATATATATAAAGTAGTAGTGCAACGGTAGAAACAATAATAATTAAAGATGTCAACTATACTTTAAACCAATGGGATCAGATGTTCTGTTTATGTGTATCTTGATTATTTTGGTCACAATCGTGATGCGTTCTTTATGTGCAACAGAGCTCTATTTTATATTTTTATTATTAAAATAAGTGCAGCAAACAAAGTGGCCATACACACGGTATGCAAGTTAACATGATGAAGATCAATTTAATCTGTCGTATTTTTATTTGTCATAAAATACATGTAAGAAAACAATTCTAAGTATCTATATACTTGATGTTTATCCAAAAGCTATCTTCAAACACATTGACAATATTCTTAGTGTAGTTATTAAATTCTATACTTGCAATCTAACTAAGAAAGCTTTAATTATCATGGCCTATCTCACATGGACAAATCAATCATCAAACATAGACAGTCCTTATGCACCTAATTATATAGCATGGGAAGCATGACAATGACAGCCTTACTGAGACCCCCTTAATTCATCCTCAAAATATATAATTTTTCTATTAACTTTATATTTACTTTAATAATAATCAATTTGATTTCTTTATGATTTATTGCATTGAAAAAAAACACAACTTTGACACTACAAGGTATCGAACTATTTCAACCAAAAACTATCATTAAAAAATTTGCAAATTTCTTGAGACTTTGTTCTAGATTTAGGTATTCATTGAAGATATCATGACAGCATGTGTAAGAAGCTTGAAAGGTCTCAACCAACTTTGATTATAATATCAAATTATGCCAAGAATGTACTAATACTAGAGTTTACCACACTATAAGCTTAGACTGTGGAGAGATAGCCTAGTTCTCTGACCAAAATTAGTTCACTCTGAGACCCTGGGTCCAATTAAATGGAGCTTGACTAGACACATTGTCGAAAGAGAAGAACCAAAACCAGAAGGTTTTCTGGATGGAAGGTCAACCAATATAATTAGTCGACTTCTTCATTAACCAGCAGTTGGCTGAAGACCCTTACAATTTAAATATCCCATGCGATTGCCAATCACACTTCAGATTGAAGATAAGACAACAAAACAAAATATCCACTAAGTTTCTTCAACCACTAGTGTTACCTTATGTTTTCCAGACTCCACATATCTGAGAAATGGAATTTTATTAAAGAACTAAAATTGAGATGAAAAACCTAATGAACAAGAGGTCCACCCACTATATGATACAACCCTAGAATCAAATCCAAAAATACATCTTTAACATTGCAATACAACTCTGAAAACTATCCTACAACAGCTCCCCAATCTAATAAAATTACAGAAAATGAAAAATCTCTGAAGGGTTGGAGAAAGCAAGAAACCATAGAACACACACTAGAAGGAAGTTAAGCTCATGTCATTACCCAAGAAAGATAGGAAAAAACAATGCAGACAATTCATTCACTACCTCACTGAGAATCCATGAAAATAATGCAGGCATCCAATGCAACAACAAGAACCCAAGTGCATAGCATAATTAGCAGTTAACCACCATCGAAAAACGTGACTGCCTATAAATAGCCTTCTCTCCACGATGTTAACCACCATCCAATGAAACTTCACTTGACAAAGATAGGAAAAAACAATGCAGACAATTCATTCACTACCTCACTGCTTGTAATAATTAGCCACTAAATGGCCTTCTCTCCACGCTGCCCTGAAAATGACATATACAGGACAAAAACTTTAGGCAACTTCTAGAGAGAAATCATCAATCCAAAGAGACACAAACTTACAGGTGTTATAGTTTAATTCAGTTTACATCATGTTTAAGAGCAAGGGAGGGATTGCATTAAAAAAAACATAAAGAATTGATATCAATTCAAACCTGATCTGTTAGACAGGGCCAACATGGCCTCTGAAAGCTACAACAAATTAAGAGCAAGGGAGGGATTGCATGATGAAGAGAGATGAAATATTTGTATGATGAATTTAAGAGCAAGGGAGGGATTGGAGAGGGTTTTGAAGAGAGATGGGGGATGGAGGTAGCTGCTGCAACTGGGTTTGCAGTTGCTGCCTCCCAAACTGATTAAGTGATGTGGAAAAAGTCGTTGACTTTGCGGAACAAAGACTGATGTATCGCAAAATTGTTTTGCGAGACAAATGCACACCTTCATCGCTCAAGGTTAGGAATAAAAGTGGTTAAAGTCTTTGTTTAGCACAAAAAACTAGCGTAATGCATTTGCGCGACGTTGAGCAAAGAGCGTTTGCGCGACGCGACCTGTGCGTCGCACAAACTTTTGGCGGTAAACCAAGACATTTACCACTTTTTTCCCAACATTGCACAACGAAGGTGTGCATTCGTCACGTGAAGCTGTTTTGCGCGACGTTTGTCTTCGTCACGCAAAGTTATGTTGCCCAAAATGTATTTGCGTGACGTTTTGTTGTCACCGGCGTAAACATACTTTGCACGGCGCAATATGCTCCGTCGCGCAAGTATGTTTTTGTACTAGTGTTTGTCGCCTTTCCTACTTACCCTACTGCTTATCTCTCTTTTCTTTTACGTCCCACTTGCCCTCTCTCTTTTACGCCACCACCTTCCTCCAAATGCTTCCCTGCGCCAATGCAACCCGCAACTGCCACGTCGGAAAGTAGTAGAAGTAGGAGAACTCTCCTTTCACATTTTGTGATCAAGAACAAGAAGTTTAGTTTAGACATTGTTGAAGATTACGTGGCTGACTGGCAAGAAGTGGGGAAGGCCAATGCCAATGATGAGACCCTTTTGTACTCCTTCAGTCCTTTGCCTCTGCCGCTTCTAGCTACTCTTCTTGGAGGTACCCTTTTTTTTTAACTCTTCACCAATTTTCAGTATTCTTGATTTGATGTTTATTTATGTAACAATGCAATCCTCCATCGGAAACTTGATAGAATAAAGAACAACACATGCCGGGTTGTGAAGGTGGTTAAGTTTATTTGCAATCTGGAAAGGCTTCAAGTTGAGCATTTTGTGTGGATACATGCTTTAGTAATTGAGATTGCTAATTGAGAGTTCCACTTTCAATAAGAATTTTTTAATCTTCATTTTTTAAATTTTGGCAATATTTCTGATTTTCTGTAAGTTTTTCTCAGTTGATTTATTGTCTACAAAGTTTTTTTTTCTTTTTTTTTTTAATCCTTTAACACCATTACAGTTCATCTGACTTGCTGCATTTGTTCTTGCATTGCTCTCTGTTTCTAAAGCATAAATAGTCATTTCAACACAGAAGCTGAGAAGCTAGATGTCTATCACATTCAAAAACTCGTCATATTACTGATATTATATTTATCTGAAAATTTGGATTATAGCTGGCACTGTGGCATCTTTGTTTGAGCCCTTTATTAAACTTGTCAAGTCGTTTAGGCTTCTTGGCTGGCTCGTGCATTGGGGTCACCTGGGCAGCATGGTATGTTGCTTTGTACCGCTTTATAAAAGAATGTACTTCCCTTAATCATGTCATACTGGCCATAAAGGGTATTCATATAAGATCCCATATCGACCAACGAAGAGGGGGTGATGTGCCTTATATGTACATGCTCCCCTCCCTATAACACGAGGCCTTTTGAGAACTCACTAGCTTCGAGTTCCATCAGAACTCCAAAGTTAAGCAAGTTCGGGCTAGAGCATTCCCAGGATGGGTGACCCACTGGGAAGTTCTCGTCTGAGTTCCCAGAAACAAAACCGTTAGGGTGTGGTTGGGGCCAAAAGTGGACAATATCGTGCTACGGCGGAGTCGAGACTGGGATGTGACAATTCATCTAAAGTAGCTTGACATAATTGTCTATGGTTTCTTGTATTTTGTAGGCTGTTGTGCTTTTCGCTATGGGTGGCTATGGAACATATCTTGGTTACCAGATACGCTTTTTAGATGATGTGGTATGAACCCAACTGCAGCATATGTTTCGATAAACCAACAATGCTATAAATTTTCTGGTGTATAGTAATATGTTCTGGCTTCTGATCATTTCAGGAGGAGAAGGCCAATGCCAAAGACTTGCACCCTAAGCTTCTAGCAGGGATGTTTTCTTCTTTGCTCTTGGAGCAACTGGAGGGGTAAAATCTCTTCTCACTTCAGACAAACCCATTTTTGAAAGATAAACTTTTAGAAATTATGTTTCAATGAATTTCTTTTTCTGTATATTTTCGTACTAGTTATTTGGAAAGTGTAGACAAATACAACAAAAGGTTCACTTTTTATGCTTTGTACTGAGGCGGAATTTAATTTGTATCTATGTTTGCATCCCTCATGCTGTTACAGGGCTCATTGGTCTTAGTCTCTTGACCATACAAACAATTTTGCCTGCTTTGTTTGAGGTAATATTTATTCTAAAACTACTTGGCTCTTTGCGCGTAAGGAGCCATTTCCCCATGCAGACAAATCACAGTTTAATAGGCATGCAAAACCTTTTCCCTTTATGGTTTTAATGCGTTACATTCACATATGCGTCAGACTCCTTACATCTACTTTTTATCGGTTTATTCTATTATTTATCGAGCAACCCGGTGTTTTCTTATTCCTTTTCTATTTTTGCAGGGTAAACCTAAATTAAGAACCGTTCACGGGGTATTTGGTACTGGGATCATGACATTGTTTGTTGTCCATGCTGCTCTTGGACTTCAACTTGGCCTAAGCTATTAATAAGACCTTGTCCATGCTTTAGCTAGTTTTCTTGTACATTCCATGATCCATTTTAGCTTCTTATTCATATTCTTTTACATACTCGGTTGCACGGACACTCCAAAATCCCGAAGTGTCGAACACTCCGACACTCCTTGGATACGTGATAAGCTCATATTTACATATATTTTACATCAAATTCACTTGTCTTTTCTTAGTTAGTTCCTTATATTCTTGAGCTATTTACTTTGTTTTTGTGTTTTGTAGGATTTGTCAAGCAAAGAAAAGAAAAATAGCACAAGTGGGATTTTAAGTAACAAATTCGTCAAAACTGCTTGTGCAGATCAGCTGACTTTGGAAGCTAGTTTCAAATAGCTCAGAATGAATTAGAGAATGATCCTTATATGCTTGGAAATCTACTGATGTCTATTTTCTGGAGCATTTTACGGATTGTTAATATCATTTGTCTAGAAGAAGTTATGGCCATTTTAACATTGAAAGGTTACCCAGAGGCTGAGCAGTTTGTAACTAAAATGAAAGCAATAAACCCAATAAATCTAGCAGCCAAAACTAATGCAGCCAAGTACATGCCAGCTGACACTTATTCAAATATAAAAGGGAATGGAATTAAAGATGAGGATTAAGAGGGAGTAATTGGCATAAAGGCTACCCAAAGAGTTACAATTGTTTTACCATTTCCTCTCACTTATTGTCATCACTAAATGGTTGTTAGTGGGGTGAGTTATGGGGAAGAAACTGGGGCAGCAAGTAAGAACAAAAAGGCTGCAAGTTGCAGCGGCAAAGTGAAAAAATAAATAAAAAGAAGGCTGCAGGTTGCAGCAGAAAGGATGGAAAAAAGACAAGGCATTAGCGTTGGAGAAGGAAGGGAGGAAGGAGGAAATCTTGGCATTTTCTTCTTTCGGTTTTATCTTCTCAAACTCATGTCTTTCTTTTGGTTTTATTTAAGGATTATGTGTAGCTAATTTTTAGAAGTTAAGGGCTGTTTTGAAGCCCCAAATATGATTACAAGTTTGTTATGACATTTCGTTTGAATTTACTTTTATGAACGGATGAAAATTGGTTCACTACTTGTCTCATTGATGAATTCTTTATGTGTTTTCTACGGATGCATACATAGTAAGCATATCTAGGATTCTAACGCTATGAATATGTGTGTGCCTGCCCTTGTCGAATGAGGACCTACATATGTTCTAGAGTAGTACTTGTTAATTGCGATTAACATGTGAACCAATTTCTAGGATAAGTAAGACAACGCTAGTACTTACGATGCCTTGTGATGACTCAAACTCTTTTCATTCTTAATGATTTCTACTTGTTAAATCTATGAACAAGTCATTCGAAATTGAATGCTAGGGACTAAGTTAAGTTGAAAATGTCATTCTCTTAACATACTACATAAGAAAAAGTAACAGGTTGAGTTCTAACATTGAGCCAACTTGAGCATCTTCATCCAGAAGTAAAAGGAATTTAAATGAAACATAACATGTTTGCATGATTATTTGGTGGTGGATAGCAATTCCCCTAACTCGTTTTTCTTAATTTGTGAACTACTTAAAATTTGTTTCTGTCCTGTTTTTGTTTGATTTAATTTAAATAGCAAATCAACTCCACAAATCCCAAACATTTGTGTGAGTGTAACTCTGTGTGTCTAGTGTGTTCATATAAAATTTCGTAGACTTTAGATAAGTGTAAGTCGGTCTAATAATTATTTGTTCGGTGACTGGTCAGTAGAGACATCAACCTAGTTTTTGTGACATTTTAAGTAGTTAGATAAAACAATATTATGTGGGAAAGACCCTTATTTTCATATGCTACATTGACAAATCTTAGAGTTAATAAGGAAAATCAATAGGACATTTGTGTGCTACTTTGTGGTGTGGTTTTAATCCTATCAATACGGTCAACTACTTGGACATGGCTTGGACAAGGTCAAGATGCGGCAGGGGCCTTTTTGTAAATTAAAAAAACATTTTGGGGCAGTTTTGGAAATTTTGAAACTAAAATCTAAAAGAGTCCCTGACCTCAACCTAATATGTTGCTTAATTTTATTTAGGGAAATGAGTAGTACTTTGCTATATTATGAATTCGAAGTATTGTTTTTAATATATATAATATTTATTATATTATAATTGTCATGTCCTAGCCGTATCCGTGTCCTTATTTTTTTAGATTTGCCGTGTCACCATATCGTCGTGTCACTTGTCGTCGTATCTGTGTCTGTGTCTATGCAACATAGGCAGGGACCATCAAAATGCAGCAAAAAGGGCATAATTCGAGGGTCCAGATGGAGAGTTCTTTTTTTTTTTTTTGGTCATCTTATCACATGGTCATGCATGATTATATACAACTGATAATAAGACATATTTTCTCGTTTAGAGAACACAGAAACAAGAAACAAAATATCCATAATTTCCACCGTTTGCAACTCAATTTGCAAGTTGTTTAGGTTTTTATACAGCTCACAAGACTATGCCGTCGCATTACTTACCAGCAATGGCGGAGCTAAAAAATATTTTATGGGTGGGCTAGCTAAAAAAATTACCCCAAAATCAAATGTTTTTTTTTTTTTTGCTACATACGTTTTGTATGCAAAAAATTAAGTTTAACTCATGTATTTGTATACTTAAAATTTATCTGGCGCGAAATCAATAAGAGCTTTGCAATTGCAGACTAACAAAATTACAATGAATCATTAAATTTCACATATATTTAGATTTAAACACAAGAAGAAGATAGAAAACTTGATATCTCAATTACAATCACCAACTAGCACAAAGCAAAACACTGAAATTAGAAGTAAAGTCGATCTTAAAAAAATAATGGTTGAAACTAATATAAACCCCACTATATCAAAGTAGAATAATCTTGAACAAAATGACATCAAAATTTCCGTGGTAATTTTTATATTGTTAGTTGTGCTAAATACTCACTGGGCTAGTTTCATTAAAAATAATTTTTCTTACACATTTTTTTGCCTATTATATAGACTACACGCTAAAGTATATATACATATTGCTACAATTCTTCCCTGGACTACAGCCCACCATAGCCTTTAGTGTGGCTACGCCATTGCTTACCAGACAAGCAACTGACTAGCGATGGACGGTGAAAATTTTGCCAAACTAAGGCATGTGAGAGTTGCCTGCTTATCATTGGTTAAAGTCCAAAGATTAACCAATAATTATAGCATAATTGTTTGTCTTTTATTTACACTATAGAATATTTTCAAGGGAACTTTAACGAAAAGCTCTCGGTACTGTTCACTTTAACGAACAACCATATTTTTACACTAAAAAGTCAATCCTGGTACTATTCACTTTACTCTTTATTTTGTCCTTATCGTTAAAACTCAAAGTTTTCAAGCCCTTTTCATTAAGTTTCCTTATTTTCAATGGTATATAAGCAAGCAAGTTATGATGTAATTAACTTGATTGCCAAACTTTGTTTTCTCACATGTGTTGCAAATTCAATGCTCTAATCTGATGACATAAAACTAACAGTAGGTAATAGTCATTCCGTATATAGCAATATATCTTCGGCTTTTAGATGTGATTAGGTTTGGCATGAATTGCATAACTTGACTATGATTGATGTACAAGGGACTGGACGCGGACTAATTGTTTGGGTTAATGTTTGAATATTGGGCTTAACTCAATGGATGCCCAAAGACACCAAAACAAGATGAATTTGCCTGAAGCCCAGCCACAAAGCCTGGAGCAAATTGAAGCCTTCTCAGCCAAGATATAGGTTATGTGCTTAGGACCAAAGTGACAACTGGTAGAGACAAACTCACTATCAGCCAAAAAGCATTTTCTAGTGGCATTACAAGTAAATATATGATGACTCACTGCCTCTGAGAACCCTCAGCCAAGAACAAAGCCCATGAAGGAAATTTTGTGAAAAACATGTTCATTTGAGCAACATCTATTGCATGCAATTAACATTTAAAGACGGAATCATGCTTGTATGCACTCAAAACAAAAACAATACCCATGACATTCAAAGCCTAGTAGAAAGGTGAGCCAAGACTCAACTCAAGAACAAAGTGAGTTGAGATATTTTATACCTTTGTTGATTCCTCTTTGCATAAGCAAAGGCTAATCACCCAAGGAGAGGGCCTTCATTCCTTGCTTCTTAGTTCCATCGATTTCTTGGAGGAGGATGGTTGAAAGGATTCTCCAAGTTCCCAAAATTGAGAACCTCTAATTTTTCCACACCAAGGAGGGACATGAAGAAGAGATGAGTGACCTTGGAGGATGAGAGATTGCTAGGTAATTTCTTCCAAGGGGGCCGGCCTCTTAGAGAGAAAAGGGAGAGACATCTCTCCAATTTTCTCCAAAAGAAACCCCTAAGGATGAAATGGCTATAAAATTGCCTTTATACCACCTCACAATGGAGTGGCAAACTTGCAATTAAAGCAAGTTGACTACCCTCCTTTATTTGGCCGGCCTTAAGGGTTTATTGGGCTTTCAAGCCCTTTGTTTATTCAAGTTGTCATACAAGTTGAGTTAATGGGCTTGACATTCAAATCCCATTGGGCCTTGTGGCCCAAAACTAACCCGAGGTTTTTAACGAACTTTATTCGTTTGATTAATTAACATATTAATTAATCCTTGCCATAAATAATTAAACCATTTAATTATCCTTACTCATCTTCGTTGTTTCTTCAATCTCTACCTTACACGGTGTATGATCCATTAGGTTCCTTTTAGCGAGGCAGTGGGCGATTAGAACTCTTTCAAATCGATTGTGAATTGAAACTTACTTTCAATTCTCCCTTTAGTGATTATACACGTTTAGGGCTTCCACAAACCATGAGTGACACCTAGCAGTATATCATGGTTACCTAAGCTAATCAGAAGAGGTGGAGAACCTATTCAGTTTAGGATTACAATGCAATACAGTCTTTCTCTAATACAATACTCTTGACCACATTGTTTGGTTTGATAGTTTATTCATGTCTACTATCCAATGTGATTCTCTTACTTATATGATTACCT